TAAGGACAGGGCTGTCTTAAATGTAGAGACGTGTCACTGTCTGCCCTGCCCAATTCCCTTGGGCTTGGCTGCTCCAGGCCTGAATAGAGTCTGCAGTGTCTGGGAGACTCGAGGTCCTGCGGTTGCTGTTGAGAGAAGAGTTGAGTTGCTACGAAAGTTGGATTTGGCCCCTGGCCGGGAATTGGAGGCTTTCCCAAACAGGAAAGCAGTAGGGCCATTTGGCTGGGACCCTAAGCTCAAGAGGCTTCAGAATTTGGCTGCGGATCAGTGTAAGGGAATGAGGTGGAACCTGGGGGTGGCCCCAAGGATTGAGGACCTTCGCATCTGAAAGCTGCCAGAGCCACACTGAGGTTCTTAGAGAGCCTGTTAACACAGTCTGCCTTATTTTACAGGGGCTGGGACAGATTCCCAAGACTTTAAATTGCCAAGACCAGGAAGTCGTGGTACTAGGATTTCATACCAGGCAAGTTTCCCAGTCTCTCACTCTAACATTTTTGCGTCTGGGCAGACAAGGGAAAATTCCTCCATCATTATATCACGTGCTCACGATCCTTGGCAGCCAAGTGTGTGGCGGCACATTGTTCTTTCCTTCCCTGCCTGCTGATACGGGTTCTCCTTAGAGATTCCTCAAGTGTCTGAGCCGGAAAGATTTTAGAAGCCATGCAGACCATTTCTTTGATTTGGCAGAAAAGGAAACAGAACCAGAGAGAAGACCGGCACAAAGGCACACAGCTAGTTAACGAAACCAGGTCTTCTGACAACCAGTCCAGGGCTTTTCCCAGAATACCACGCCCTAGATACCAAATAACATCTGTATTTCAGGAGCTCCTGCCCAGTCCATATTCTGTTTCCCATTTCACTCACTTCCATGCCTAGGGCCTTGAAGTAGACCTTGTAATGTGGTAAAAGGACTTTCTGAAAAGTTTCTATTATTTGGTATTTTGATGGAAAGGCAACATTAGATTAGAAAAAAAGAGGTTATCACAGCCAGAGGTTTCTAAAAGGAAATGCAGTTGGGCCAGAGTGGAAGAGCAAATTCCCCGACTGAGACCTGTTGCTCAAAGTTGTCCATGGACCAGAAGAATGGGTATCACCTGGGAGTCCCACCCAGACGTGCTGCATCAAAATCTGCATTTGCACAAGATCCCCAGATGACCCGAATACACACTAAAGTGGTCCTGCAAAAAGGCTTCCCCTCCAGTTCCTGCCCAAATGCTTCCCTTTCTTCCTCTTACTTCCCTCCGTTCCTGCACTCCGTGGTCCACTCCTAAATGTTGCTCTGTTCATCTAGTCATGCCTTTTCTTGACATTGAAAGCCATGGAGTGGGGGTGGAGGTGTTATCTTTTTAAAGGGGACTCGAATGGAAATTTTTTTAGAAAAATAAAATAGAGCCAATGTGAAAGAACTTGTGCAGTTCCAATGTCATGTTATTAATATAGAAGTATAAACATTTACGATGTTTATATTGGCTTGCTTGTAAAATCATCATCTTTGGTTATGGTTAGGAACTTGATGGCTTGGAAATTATCCTAAAAAACTCTGAGAACAAAAATATTTTTCCCCTCAACTCTATGGAAAATAAAAAAAATCTCCTTAAAAAAATCCCAATAACATCTCTTCCCCTACATTATTCTCTGCCACTATGCATTTCTTCCTCTTACCTCTCTCTCTTTCATTATTCCTAGTTCAGTTTCCTCATATCATTTTATTTAAAATATAATTTCTCTTATTATTCATTCCTAATAGAAAAATTAAGAAATAAAGAGGAAAAGAAAACACAACTAGAGCCCCATCGATGTAGAAACAACTGTGAACTTTTAATATAAAATTATCTCAAACCTTTTTATGCATATATTTATTTTTTTTAAATGGAATAATTCAGAACATAATAATTAGTACCTTCTTTTTTCCCTCTTTTTGTTATTCCTCACCCAAGGATATTTTTCCATTGATTTTTAGAGAGAGTGGGAGGGAAGGGGTGAGACAGAGCGAGAGAGAAACATCAATGTGAGAGAGAGACATCGATTGGTTGCTTCCTGAGCACACCCCAACCAGGGCCAGGGATCAAGCCTGTAAACCGAGGTATGTGCCCTTGTCAGGAATCGAACCCGGGACCCTTCAGACCCTACTGAGCCAAACTGGCTAGGTCAGTATCTACTTCCTTTTAAATGGAAGTATAAATTACTAATTTGTTTACATCTGTGAACATAAAAATGAACAGCATCATTTTTAATAAACTTTGCCAAATAGATAGTACCAGGATTGATTCTTTTAGACTATCATTTCCAGCCCCAGTTCTCTTCCCACCTTGTCAGAGGTAATTGCTATTACCAGTTTCTATGCATTTAATGCTTCTGTATGTAGCCAAAGGAAACAAATTACTGTTCGAGGTTGTCCTCTTGTCATTAGTTATTTTTCACATCAATGATATAATACAATACCTAACATTGTTCAAATTGCCTTCCCCACTAAGCAATCAGTCTTGGAGTGCTTTCTGTATTAATGCTTAGACTTTTAGCTGTTGCACAGTATCCTGTGTTATGAATATGCTATGGTTTATTTAGCATGTGTTGTATTAATTGACTGTTTTTATTTAGGCTGTTTCCATTTTTCCTCTCTTGTAGGAAGAATACATTTATCCATTGTTCTTTGTGTACATATGTCTCTAGAGTAGATTTAGAGAAGTGGCATTGCTGGATCGTAGGATCACCTGCTTCTTTCTATGAGTGAATGAAAGAAAAAACTCTTTTGAAGATACTGGAGGAAAGGGGATTAAAAGGAATAGATGTTTGTTTATTTGGGATTTAGATCCTCAGAACCTGAACTGGAGTCCCAGTTCTACCACTTAGTAGCCTAAAAAATGACCTCTTCTCCCCAATAGTTTGTCTTTGGCTTCCAGTATTATCTTGAGGTTTCCAGCTAAGGTAAGTAGGTGCAACTGAGAAAGAAAAAGACATACCAGGCTTTGGAAGGGACGGATAACACGCAGGTTTGGCTGAGTTTAAGATCTGCCTATTGCCCTGGCCAGTGTGGCTCAGTTGGTTGGAGCATAGTCCTGTACACCAAAAAGTGGTGGGTTCAGTTCTCTGTCAGGGCACATATCGAGTTTAATCCCCAGTTGGGGAGAGTGAGTGAGGAGAGAGAGAGAGAGAGAGAGAGAGAGAGATCTGCCTACTCTCTTATGGGAGGAAGAGTGCCTGTAGTGCAGAGTAGAGGGAAAGTCTTCTCCTTCTTCCCCTTTTCAGGACGCCTCACTCCCACTACAGCTCGGTGAATCCAGTTGTCAACTTGACTTTTGATACATGCACATGGGGTACAGAACATAGAATTTAAGTGCTGTAAGGATTTTAGTAGATGGTCTCTGCTCCTATGAAGGAGAACAGACATCCGTTCATGGAGAGATTCAAGCCAGACACTGTACCACCAAGTGCAACTTAGTGCCAGGCAAACTGAGTACCGTCAGGAGTACTGTTGAGTGAATATCAAGTCCTCTTCATCTTTCACGGGGTTACTGCCCCAGGTTTTTACTTGGCCTTCTCACCTATAATCTCTCCCTTTCAGCCCATTCAGTTGACTTCTGATAAACTAATCTCAAGACCACTTTCATGGTATTTTTAATCTTGCTCATTCCCTGGTAAACTTCCCTTCATCCTTTAAGACTCAGCTCAATAATGTTATGGTGGTAATCATTTGAATATATAAGTATATCAAATCAACATATGGTACATTTCATATTCACACATTGTTACATGTCAGTTACATCTCAATAAAGTTGGGGTGGGGGGAAAGACTCTGCTTAAACTGTTATTTTTACAACATGTATTGAGCACACACTTTGGGGCCAATCGCCTCTTCTAAAAATTTCCCCTAACCCTAGGCTCTGTGAGCTAATCCCTTCTTGTAATTCTTCTCTTATAATATATCCTACTTTACTGTGATTACTTATTTATTCTTCTGGTCTACCTATACCCCAAACCGTGGGCTCTTAATGTACAGGGCCTCTATCTTAGCCACCTCTGTACCCCAGCACCCAGTATTTACATGGTTGATGCTTGATAAATGTTTGCTCAACTCAAATAATGGATAAACAAACTTTCCAGAAATGTGTACACTGGTTTTCAACGTACTTTTAAAATTTGGAGGCTAATTCTTGCATAGAGGGAACAGAAACTATATTAGGTGGCTGGAGCAAAGGTGGCTTATCCTAGATCCTGAAAGGAGAAGTGGGCACCTGCCTAAAGCCCGTTGATCACTTCCTGTTGCCCTTAGGATCAAATTCAAATATTTTAACTTGACTTTCAAGGTTCCACATGGCCTGGAGGCAGCCTACCTCACCAGCATCCTTTCATACCTTTTTTCCTGGAGCCCCTTACACTCCAGGCACAGTCATTACTTTATTCCTCAAGGCATCAGACTTCCTCATCAATGATGACCCACACCCATTCCTCCCACCTCATCTAGGTAATTGCCACTCATCCTTCAGATCTCAGTTTAGCTGTCACTGCCTAGGGAGGCCTTCCCTCAGCCACACAGGAGCTTAGCTCAACCTACTGAGTGCTTGCATAATGCTCTGTATTCTTCCTTCATAACACTATTACTGCAACTTGATTATTAATTGTGTTTCACTCCTCACCTCCTAAGTCCAGACTACAAGGTCCTTGAGGACAAGATCTGCATATTTTCTTTCACTGCTTTATTGAAGGAGCTTTCCCTGCATTATTTTATTGTGTGACAGTCCTGTGAGATACATATCTTTGTTCCCTTATTTGACAAAGGAGATGTGTAATAGAGTCAAGTCTTGAGCATAGTTCAATCTGCACTATTGAAGGATTAAAAAGGTTTATTTATTTGGGATTTAGATCCTCAGGACCTGAACTGGAGTCCTACTTCTACCATTTAGTAGAAGTAGGTTTAGTAGAATTAGGTTTCTAATTCTGGGTGAATGTCCCCATCTGTATAACAGAGATATTATTTACCTTACCTAGCTCATAATTTTCCTTAGAGGAGCAAATGAAATAATATATATGACATGGCTGGTAGGCCATAATCCACTCTACAAATATAAGTGAAACAAACAGCATTTTCATCAGGTTCAAGTGGTAACGGCCGCTGCTTATCTGGTCTGCCCACTCTGAGTATCAGTTTTTTGAATAAAGTGGTCAGTTTGGAGATACTGCATCCAGATGCACCTGTATGTTATCTAGAGATAGTTGTTAGCCCAGACCTATATTGCCAACTAAAAGATTAATTTAGAAGAACATTCATCTTATAAGATGAGAACTATACATTTAGCTTTTACATAAATATAAGTAAAAAACAATAAATAATATGCAGTATTTCTGATATTTTACCTCTAGGCTTGCTTACTACGGAACTGATGACATGGTTAGGCAAATGCAGTTAATGATTAGCATTAATGTTTAAGAGCTTAGACTTTGGAGTCAGAGAAACATGGGTTCAATTTTCTCAGCTCTACCTTTATCACCAATGAGGCCTTGGGCAAGTTACTTAAATTCTCTAAGATTCTTTTCTACATCTTTAAAATGTATCTACCCCTCAGACTGTCGTAAGGATGAAAACAAATAATGTAAGTAAGTGCCTGGAACATAGGAAATGCTCTGTAAATGTACAGTGTTATTACCAACTCGGTCTCTTTTCTTTCCTGGCTTACTGATCCCTATACACCCATTTGTTCCATTTTTCTTCCATTCCACTTGGAATGAATACTTTCAGGTATCCCAGTCTTAACTACGAATGCCAGGAACTCTGCCTCTCAGTCTGCAACTGCGCCCAGGAAGCCAAACTTCTGTAAAGGGGAGTTTTCCTCCTGTGCACTCATTACCCTGAGAGAGAATTTTATTCTCTCTGGCTTTGGACAACAAAAGGATGTGCAATTTGGAGCCAAAGTAAAAAGGGAGTTTTACTGTTTAGTCATTCCATAGCTACTATCACATTGGCTATACAAGTGATGTGATTCATTATTAATTTTAAGACAGGAGCTTTTCTGTGATTTTGAAGTAGAAGTCAAAAATTCTCGCCAAGGCACTGTATTTTGGTTTGTGTCAGTGTTTTCACCTGAAATGCACTTACTGAGACCTTACTGTGTTCTCTTTTCTGGGAAGAAATACAAAGATGAATAAATTATCTTTCCCTCAGAGGAGCTTAAATACTACGAAGGACATAGACAAGGACACAAACAGTGGGAGTGAGCAAGTAGGGCAGGAAGGACGACCTGAGTGTGGCACCCTCTATTCTGGATGGGATTCATGTGTACAGGGTGGTGGAGCAAGGAAGTTAAAAGATCATGGTCACTGGAATGGGCCTTAAGCCTGGCACTTGGACCATTAAACTATCCTGAGCAAGCCACTTGCCCTCTCTGAGCCAATTTTCTCATGTGAAAAGGAGAATAATGCTTACCCCAGAAGATTGTTGTGAGGATCAACTGAGAGGCAGTACCTACCAAGCACCATGCTGGGCTAATAGTATATAATAAATATTAGTCACTATACTAGTAAATCTCACTATGCTTAATACACTAAGTCATAGACAGTATTAAAAGTCTTGTCAGGCCCTAACCGATTTGGCTCAGTGGATAGAGCTTCGGCCTGCGGACAGAAGGGTCCCAGGTTCTATTCCGGTCAAGGGCGTGTACCTTGGTTGCGGGCACATCCCCAGCAGGGGGTGTGCAGGAGGCAAGCTGATCGATGTTTCTCTCTCATCGATATTTCTAACTCTATCCTTCTCCCTTCCTCTCTGTAAAAAAATCAATAAAATATATTTTTAAGAAAAAGTCTTGTCAGCATATAGGGTGAGTGGAGGAGGCTTAATGAAAGAGATCTTAAGTTTCAGCAGCAAGGTGGACATGGAGCATCTTCTCAGCTATGCAAACAGGAACATTTGCTGAACATTTGCCACTTTTCTGACACAGATGATGACATCCTGTGGTCATTCCCCTCCCCTGGTGAGATCTTAGGTGGTGGTTTCATGCACACCCCACCCAACATGGTGGATTATCTGACGGTAACAGAGAAACAGGAAGATCAGTGGTTTCAAATTGAGCAAAGATACTACGTATTTTACAGTAAATAACTATTCCATTTTTATCAGTTCCTTGACCAAATGCTGAGAAAATTGTGATGTGAAATAATAAGGAAGTCAAGACACTGTTTTTGGAAGAACTGAAAGCCGCCTTGGTGTTGGGAGCCCATCCTGCCATCCCCAGCGTGCTGAATGAAATGGCAGCTGAAAAGGACTTGGTGGACAGATGGATGGAAGGAGGAAGGAAGCCAGCACCTTTCTTGATGAAGCTGCTGTTCTGCACGAGAATCTCTCATTTGATTTGACCAAGTTAGGGAAGTAATCCAGATTTAAATAAAATTACTGTGTAAAAGTTAACTCAGCCCATTTATTATGAAATCCCTTGATTCATGGGAAATATGGGGTTTCTAGGAGGAGGAAATGAGATAATTTGTGATATAATGGTTAGTATTCATAAGAAATACCACTATGGTTTTTCCTCTGTTTCTAAAAGCACTATTCTCATAAGGAAATTATAACACTTAAAGGCTTTATGGATATTGATATGGTTGTATCTATGTTAATTATGATGATGATCATAACAGTGGGTATCAATTTTAAGCTTCCAGTTTAGGTTATGGGGATCCCTGGGTTTCAATTCAAACTGTATGACTCTTGAAAAGACACTTATATTCCATCTTTTTAAGCTTTATAAAGGTAGAGGTATTCTCTATCATCTTCAATATGGTATCCTACCCAGAGTCCAGCACAGTGTCCAATACATGATTGGTGTTCCATTAATATTGTTGAAATACTTAACTCAACATTCATTATCTCTTTTAATATTCACAACAACCCTGAAAGCTCAATATTATTAGCTCTAGTTTGTGAACAATAAAGCTTACCTGCTTATTTCAAAGCTATTACAGACTTATGTAATGGGATTTTGCAGGGGTGGGAGAAATTTGCTCTATGATCACATGATCTCGGAGCATAACATAGGAAACTCAAAGAGAATAATATTGTTCATGGAAGATTCTTTTTATGTTTCCACAGAGTGGGAGGGAGTAGTTCTGTTGGCCATTTGACTAGAGAAGGAGCTCAAACCCATGTTTATGGAGAAAGGTGGACTCAAGTGGAGATGTCTGGTCTGGAGAAGAGAATGGGGAACATCATAACCATTCTCACATAGCCCACGGCTGACTCAGAGCAGACAAAACTATCTTGACCTATGTGTGCCAAGGGGGCAGGACACATGCAGGCAGGTCTTAGGGAAACCAATTTTGGTTCGACATAGGGAAGAACATTCTAATTCCTTCTGCTATTTAAAAGTAGAATAGACCATCTTAGACATAGCAAATCCCCTGTTGTTGAAGATGTCCAAAGTAGGATTACATGATCACTTGACAAAGGTCTTGTAAAAGGGATTTACACACTGGCTAAAGGGAGAAAGGCACTGGGCTAAATGGATATATCCTTGATGTCTCATAAAATCTATAATTCTATAATCCTGTATTTAAAATTTGTCAAGATGATTTCCAGAAATGAATGTTTTTAAAAGGAAACTAAATGATAGATTAGGTCAGATTCCTTAGCCTATAAAATGTCCTTGGGCAGAATACCTGTCTATGTGAATGAAACAGCACTATGTTCCCAGCACCCATTACCATGCCTGACCCATAGCATGCATTTATATGAATTATATGAATTCTCTATATGAATCAGTTGGAATCTTGAGTACAATGGGGAACCAACCTACCAAGCTCTGAACGGCGACGTACCAAGAAGTTACGGAGTGTGATAAGACTGAAAACGCAACCAGATCAACTCTCCTGTTTCCCTTTCCTATGTAGATTATAAATTTGGTCTAGAGGGAAATATTTCCATTTATTTGTGTTTTAAATGTTGGACTTGCATAGAGTCTTTGCCTCGATGTGCATATTTTCTGTTGGCCTCACTAGCTCAGGAGCTGTTTGCGAGGAGATCACATAAAAATCAACTCATGGAACGCTGGAATGAGAGGACCAGCAGGGGCCTGAGAGATGCCCTCCTCTACTTTCAAGAGTGGTGGGGACGTAAATTATCAGGCAAAAAATAACAAACCCCATAACTCAAATGGGGAGCCACCCCCAGAGGTGACACTGGAGAAACCCCAGAGGGAGACAATGATTGTGTCTAGCAGCTAGCAGGGTGTCAATGCAAATATAGCAAATGGAGCAGGCTGGTGTCCAGGAGCAATGCTAGACTTGGGACCAGAAAGCCTGGATTCTCCTCTGGATCTGCCTGTCCCTCACTGCCTGTGTGACCCTTACATGTTCCTTATCCTCTCTAGCTGTCACCTGGGGCTACATGACATTCAAATAACTCTCCTATTGGGGGATAGCTGTTATAGAGGCAGGAGAGTAGGTTGGTAGCAGTGGAGGGCCATTTTAAAGGAATAGAGTAAGTAGGATTGCATCTATAATGGATGTGGGACGTGAAGGAGGGGAAGTGGTCAAGGACAACTCCTCAATTTCTGACTTAGGCAGCTGGGTGGATGGCAGCCATGTTTGCTGATACAGGAACAAGCAAGCAGGAGGGGTTTTGAGAGGAACTTAATGAGCCACACCTTGAGGTTCAGAAAGATCCTGGCCCTTTGGCTCTTCCCCTACCTCCTTGAGTGCAAACAGGCCCCTCGAATGAGCGGGTGGGTGATCCAGGCAGCTCAAATGTGACAGAGCCGCCCTGGTTATGCCTCCTAGTGCTGGAACGCTTCAGAAGCCGCTGTAACTCAGACTTAAATCCCTACATCCATCTCTTCTCTTATTGCTAAGGCAGTTCTGGGAGCCACAAATCTAAACTTATAAAGAAAAAGAAGAGAACCAGGGGGAGCTTCCAGATTAGAAGCTGGTTTCCTGCCAGTCTTTTGCTTCATTTAATGTGCTCGCCCACACGCTCCCTGGTTTCCGAAGACCTACTGCAGGCTTGACTCCTGCAATCTATGGCAGTGCCTCCAGGCCTTGGTGCTCAATAAATGAAACTAGAACGTTAAGAAAATGGAACTCCCTGAGGACTGGGGGTGGCTGGGAACACCCAGCTGGGTGGCAGACTGCGGGAATGGCAGGACAGGGGTCAATATGTAATGGACAGAACAGAGCTCCCACTGAGTGGGCACTGAGCTACCACTGATCGCGGCCTCACTGAAGTGCTGCAGGCCTGGGCACGGTGAGCTGAGCCCAGTAAAGCCAAGCTGGGGTATAGAAAACAACCGGCATCCCACGGCATCTTCTGACTATCCCTGTGAAGAGAATAAATGTATTGTTTTTGTTTCTAATTACAAAAACAATATGTGTTCATGGTAGAAAATCAAGAAATTCAGAAAAGAAAAAATACTCAACTGTAATCCTAATAAGCACTCCTGCCATTTGATGAATTTTTACTGAATGTTGAAGGTACAATTTAAGGCCCACAACAACCCCGAGATTTAGGGAATATTATTATTCCCTTTTAATCAATGAAGGGACTAAGGTTCAAAGAGGTTGAGATTTGCCTAAAGACACATAGCTGACAAGTGGTGGAGTCCAGGTTTGAATCTGGTCCTGTATCCCATTTTCCCACAATATTTCATTTGTCTTGACCCATGGATAATACCAGAGGGGAGGCCACTTTGTCAAATAACCCCAATTTGCAGATGGGAAATACTCCACAGCAAAAAGGTCCTGCATGAAGATGATGTGTGTTATCTTTCAGGTGTCTTGTCAGACACTTCCTGCAATTTTGTAAACTCACCCATTGCAAAAGTGGTGGTGTTCTGATTCTTTGCCCTTTCTGACAACCAAAACAGAAAGCAACTTTCCTTCCATTACTTGGCTGGAGGCTTCCTTCTGCTTCTGCCCAAGACAGGCTGTGGTTAGCACTCACTGCTTAACCTCTTCCTCCTACAAGCCCCTCTTTGAAGTAGAACATTTTGTTTTGGCCATTTTGACACCATGGACATTCTGTGACCCTAAATACCAAGCCGATCGCTTATAGAAAGTGAACAAATGAACAACCTTACCCCATTTCTAAGCTTCACTGTCTTCACCACATCTCTGACTCCAGCCCATTCTTGCATCTCCCATCTGATCCTCACTTTACCCTGACGTTAGGGTGCATTTCTTCTGCATAGAGTACTTGATGATTTTTTTTTAATTTTGAAGTTCCTTTTTAAAAAAAAATCCTCAATGAGGATATGCTTTTATTGATTTTTAGAGAGAGTGGTGGGGGGAGAGAAAGGGAGAGAGGGAGAGGGAGAGGGAAAGGGAGAGGGACAGGGGAGGGGAGAGGAGAGGAGAGGAGAGGGGAGAGAAGAGAAAACACTGATCAGTTGCCCTGACCGGGATTGAAGTTGCAACCTTTGATGTATGGGATGACCCTCCAGCCAACTCACCCACCCAGCCAGGGCTTGAAGATGCAAACACACTTAACACTGGGATGTCTTCTTAATGAATTGACCTTTTTGTCAGTATGAAATAAACTTATTTATGTCTGGCAATACTCCTTATCTTTTTAAAAAACAATGTATTGAATTTATTGAGGTCATATTGGTTAATAAAATACAGGTTTCAAATGTATGATGATTTTTAAAAAATTGAATGCTTTATTCTTTTTTAAAATTTATATTTTTTATTGATTTCAGAGAGGGAGGAAGAAAAACATCAATGATGAGAGAGAATCATTGATCAGCTGCCTCCTGCATGCCCCACACTGGGGATCGAGCCCGCAACCTGGGCATGTGCCTTTACCAGGAATCTAATCGTGACCTCCTATTTCATAAGTTGACACTCAACCACTGAGCCACGCTGGCCAGGCTAATGCTTTATTCTTTAAAGAAATGAATTAACTGTGAATGTCAAAATATCACTAGCATCAAAATGACCTCAACAAAACATCACATACCTAGTACCAAACCCTGACTACCCAGCTTGGTCCCAGTCAGTCTTTTGCTGACAGCATTATACACTTCCTGTGCATCCTCCACTATTAACTGGCCCTGACCTTGACAAGTTATATAGCTCCCATATGTCTCAGTTTCCTTGTTTTTTAAATGGAGGATAATATCTATTTTATAAGGTTGTTGTGCGATCAAATGCTTGTAATACTTACGTTTGTAAAGGTCTTAGAATATGACCGACATATTGGAAGCACTAGTAAATGTTAGCTATTAAGACAAATGGAGTTGTCTGTCCATCTTGTCACCTCAAGGGCCAGTAGTTAAGATGTATTTCTTAAAAAATTATTTAAAATGTCAGTGGTTTTCTTGTTTTATTTATTGGAATCCCTGAGTAATTTTTAAAATTGCACATGCATAGTAGTTTGCATACAATTATATGTTGAATAGACTTTTGTGGGCTTGCCTA